AGTCTGCTGCAGAGAGGAAGGGACATCGGGGGGGGGGGGGTTAACATTATACCAGAAATCAGCTTTAATCAAAATCCTCCCACCCCCGCGCTAAAAGAATGAAACACTGCCCTTGCATGTACAGAATGAAGTGACAACGTTGTCCCCTTCTATATAAACCACACAGAGAGCTACAAGCGGATGTGCCGACTTGTCCAGCATCAGCTCACATAGAGAAGGGAACAAAGGAAGGACCAGCATATATAATCACAAGATGAATCACACAGAAGAACGCAAGGCATAATAATACAAGTGGACCTGGTCACATCATAACTAGTGATAAGCTTGGGTGCGGACTGAACCAGAGTTTATTCGAACCCACAAGGAAGTTGTCCGTGCCAACCCAATCAGCTGTGGCTGGGGCATTCCCCATCCGGAATTGCACGTGAACAAAAGGATGGGAAGCTGGTGACATCATTGACCTTATATAGCAACATACCTATATTTGGTCAATGCCACTAATCTAATAGTTATGTGGCCATATAAGGTCAATGATGTCACCAGTAAAATAATGAGTGTGCAGCGCTATAGGTGCTTTATGTGTAACACGTATATTAATTGTGCTAAGTTTCTCCAGTAAATTGAGTGTAATCCCTTTTTCAGGGATATTTAAATGTGTAAAAAAAAAATGTTTTTTAAACAAATAAGTGGGCAAACTCCAATCAATGTAAAGTGATCTCAGTGTCACCACGTAACAATACCCTTAATTGTTAAGATGAAACAGATAAGTGCATCATGAAAGAAATATAATAAATCCACTGTGTAGCTGTATGTCAGCTATATATAAAACACTTGCACAGCGGTGTTGCAATACTTCTGTTTGGACTTAATTTTTTCTACTTTCGACTTCACGCACTATTATCACAATTGAATTTTATTTGATTTATTATCACTGATTATTGAACAGGATTTGATTATGTTCTTTTATATATAGCTGACATACAGCTACACAGTGGATTTATTATATTTTTTTTCATGATGCATTTATCTGTTTCATTGTTGGGATCCGAGACGGATCCCAACAATACTGTGGAGATCCACCCAGCTGCATGAGTGAAATCTGTTTCTGGAGGATCGGAGAGGGGAGAATCCCTGCGGGGAGTGGTGACTGATAGTCACCGCTCTCTGCAGGGAGATAATCGGAAAGTGAGCGAGCGACGGTATGTGTTCGCTCACTTCCCGATCACTAGAGATGACGCGCGGCAGCTTCACTGTCACAGGTCCTCTCTAACTATGAGGATGAGTGGAAATCACTCACCTCATAGTTCTCCTTTAATTCTAGTCATAACCAAGAGATGCACATCCATGTATAGGTGGTGGTTTTATAGGGGCAAGGATTTTGAAGGGGGAGACAGGTGAACAATGACTTCTGGGGGAGCTGGGATTAAAGGAGAACTATGGGGTTAGGACACAAACTAGCGTCCTCCCGTCACCCTAAGCTCAGTATACCGCGAGCTATACCGCGGTATACTGAGACGCCGCAGCTGAAGCTGATCCCGACAATTATGTCTGATCCGCCCAGCTGCGTGAGTGACAGCTAGCTCTGCCTATCTAGAGGCAGAGCCAGCTGTACCCGCCCCCTCCCCCGTCAGGCCAGTCAGCGCTGGAGGATCGGAGCGGGGAGGGGGGGAATCCAGCCACTCCCGTCACGGCAGAGGGCTGTGAAAGGATCGAGAAGTGAGCAAACGCCGGTATGCGTTCGCTCACTTCCCGATCTACTGAGCCGACCTGTGACAGTCTCATTGTCACAGGTCGGCTAGAACTATGAGGTGAGTGAAAAGCACTCGCCTCATAGTCCTCCTTTAAGTAAAAGTCCTATACACATACACAAGCAGTTAACACTTGCAGTGCAGAGGTAGCCCCCTGAAAGGTTTTAAACGTACATGTTGGGGGCAGGGGGATATTAGTTTTCATTTGACATTTCCAAATCAGCCATAATGCACCTGTAATGTACACATGTAATGCAGGGAAGTCTTAGGAAACAGTAAATCATAACGTATTGCCATGTATGTCACCCTGAAGCTCCAGCCTGCACCGACGCAGAGGACACAAAGGATATTTGGCCAGGGGGGAGTCGACCCTCTTCTTGCTCGCTGTCTCCCTCTGCTTTGCTTTCATCAGCCGCCGTAGCTCGTCTTGCTGTACCAATTTCTTCTTTCCGGGCGCCGCCATGTTTCCCCGAAAACGTCTCTTGTAAAAGGCGTCACTTCCTGTCCATCACATGCGCCGCCCGGAGTTTACTAGGACTGAATAAAGGGTTCCGGATAGTCTGCAGGACACACTTTAATCCCATCTGCTTTGTATCAGTTATACCGATAATTCATCTTGGATAGCAGTATTCACCGAGCATTCCCGGTTGTCAGGAGATGAATCAGATTTTAAGCAGAATTTCCTTCTTAACATTCTTGAACGGTTTAGAACGAAATGAGTTTAAGTAAAAACATCGTTAACTGTAATGTTTGATGTTTAACGCTGGAATCCACAGTGGTAGGTGAGATATTTCAAAGAGTCACTAGGTGGCGCTCTATGTCTAGTTTTAAAGACAGCCCACCTTTTACAAAAACAATAACATGCACATGCATTAACCACTTGCTGTGCGGGGCATTTTCTTACTATTTGCGCACACATGATAAAATATAATTTTTTGGCTAGAAAACAGCTTCAAACCCCCAAACAATGATATATGTTCTGAAAGCACATAAACCTAATTTTTTCGGTAAAATATTAACCAGTTGACATCCGCAGTGTTAAACCCTATCGGCGGGCTATGGAGCCGCTGATCGCCTATATGTGAAACACCCGGTAACGGGTGTTTGCATTGGTCGGGTCTTTTCTGCCCGTGCGTGCCCGCTAGGGGGCGCACGCGAGCAGAAAAAAATGCCGTCAACCCGCCAATGCAGCAGTGCCGTCCGTCCGTTTTTTTACAACGGGCGGACGGCAAGTGGTTACAGACGGGGTCACGCCGGGTAAATAGATACTAAACAGGTCAAGTCTTAAAATTGAGTTCGCCCGTAAAGCCGCAAAAAAAGTTAATACCCCAAATTTCCCATAGGGAGCACTTCAAACGCTTTTACCGATCATAATTTTAGGGCTAACAGTGATTGATGGCCCTAGAATTATTGCTCTCACTCCGACATTCGCGGCGATAGTTAACATGTGTAGTGCAATTGTCGTTTTTATACTTAGGCGCACCGACACTGCAGCAGCCGTGTTCTTGTTTTAACCACTTCTGCGGGCCGTCATCTATAGACGTATTGCAGGCCGGAAGTGGTTAATAAAAGAAAAAAATAATCATAATGGACATTATGCAATAGATGCAACCCCCCCCCCCATCCTTTCACTGCTGGTCAGTGACAGTAATATCCCCCCAGCCCCCTTTCATTGATGATCGGTGGCAGTTTTAATTAAGCCCCCACCAGCCTTCTTTCATTGCTGATCAGTGGTAGTAATAATTAACCCTCACCTTGCTTTCATTGGTGATTAGTGGCAATAACCATTATCCACCACCCCCCTTTTCATTGGTGGTCAATGGCAGTAATAACTGCCCCCACCACCCCTTTTCATTGGTTGTTAGTGGCAGTAATTAACACTCCCTTCCCAATTTATTGGTGGTCAGACGTATTTCCGTGTTGCTGCCTCTATCCTCAGCATGTTGAGACAAAGCTATATAGGTACTATCAGTTGGGGATCATTCTGCCAGATGGAACCATAGTTGTTTTGGTGCTGGAACCCAGAGAGTGACCTGGCACCCCACTGCTACTCTGCATTGATGCAGAGTATTTTGGGTCCTGAGGGACAGCCTGTGGGGTGTAGACACTGCGTGATAGTCTCCCAAATCTCAAGACTGGGACACTTGGCAACTCTGCTATCAAAAGTGTTATAATACACTAAACTTTTGATCCAGTCGCTAAATTATTGTATTGGTTATGTTTAAAACCCAGTATAGAGAAAAATAAATTGTGGTGAATAAGCACTTTTAGGTCAAATCAATCTTTATTTGTACATTTATTCTTTGTGACCTGCGTAAGGACCTGTCCATACCATTTTGATTAACTGTGGTGTATTAAACGCACATTAACTTACATACAGTTACAACATGGTGCCCAAGACACGTGACTCTTGTGCCTTGGCCATGCAGTGATCTCCATGGGAATACTACACTCACTACTCACTACAAGGGTCAAAGGCCCATTTAGGTCTAGGGCACCTGGGAAAAGCACCTATAGCCTCTTCCCCCCTAGACTTTGGCAGTCGGAGACCTGCTGACATAATCAAATACAATACAGGGCCCAAAGCCCTGCATTATACAAAGGGATATTCCACCAGGTAAAGCATAATGGAGAGAGAGATGAGTGCCAACTGCCAGGGGATAGACTTGTGCGCCGTCAAAAAATTTGTTCCGTTTCGTAATGTCCATTATTTCGTAATTCGTATCCGAAACTCAATTCGGATTCGTACGAAATACGTATTTTCGTTAGTTTCGGCACATTTTCGTAACTTTACGAACATTTGTTATGATGAAGTTAAAAAGCAAAAATACCTTTTTTAATATTGGAGTCGATGTGGTAGTTGTTTTTTTATCCGAAATACGAATTCCGTTAATGGATTCCGTATCCGAATTCCGTATTTCGGACTTTAAAAAAAACTACCATCAACTCCAATATAAATGTACTTTGCTTTTTACCTTCAATATAACGAATGTTCGTAATGGAACGAAAATACGTCAACGGAATTTCGTATTTCCTGCCTGTATTTGTAATGCAACTCTCAGCAGCAGAAGAGAACCTCTGATTGGTCAACCAAAACGAAATACGAATTCCGTTAACGGATTCCGTATCCGAATTCCGTATTTCGGACTTTAAAAAAAACTACCATCAACTCCAATATAAATGTACTTTGCTTTTTACCTTCAATATAACGAATGTTCGTAACGGAACGAAAATACGTCAACGGAATTTCGTATTTCCTGCCTGTGTATTGTAATGCAACCCTCAGCAGCAGCGGATCTGTATTTCGGATTAAAAAAAACATCTTGTCATGTTGTTCAACCTCATTTACAGGGGTAATATTAGTTCCTGTTTCAAAGAAATTCGGATCCGAAATTCGTTAACGGAATTTGGTATTTCGGATATAATTCGGAAACTGCCATTCGGATTTCGGATGCTCCGAAATTCGGAATTTCAGGAAAATTCGTACGAATTTCGATTCGAAACGAATCGCACATGTCTACCAGGGGATCAGATAAGTAAATGTCCTTTACCCATGTACCCTAGACCTAAATGGGCAGTTAGCCCTTGCAGTGTGGGGGCAGCCCCACTTCAAGGGGAATTTTCTTGTAGATAGGCTTTCAACGATAACTGTAATAAGGCCATTATATTGACAGTCCAAGAAGCAAACTTACATGCATGAGGTTGCTAACCTTTCGCTATGTACATTACAGGTATTCAGGTAATTAGGCCAGGCACAGCAGGCAGTTTGTGAATCTTCAGGTCTACATGAAGCTGTTGAAGGTCTCTCCAGTTGAGCTCTGTGTATCCGACGTATAGTGGAAAAAGAATAGTCTTAAAAGTTTCCACAACAGTGTTAAGATTATGTGATTATTGTGTGATTATTATTTACAAAAGGGTGTCTACCAGCAGTAACAAGTTCGGCCAAATAAGCGTGACCAGGTTATCTGTATACAAGAACATGTTATATCAATTATGTTTGTCATGGCCATCTAGCCTCACATTATAACTCTGGAATGGTTATTTGGAGATCAATCTGTTTTTCTTTTTCTGTTTTGTAATGTGCGCATATCAATTATGTTTTTTAAACATCTTTTAACCTTTGTATAATAAAATACTCTTGTTTTATCATGTGGTCATTTTTGGTCTTTGTCACTTGGTACCTAAAAAGCCCCACCTCTTCTCCTTATTTTTTGACTATTTACAAAAAGGGGTCCCCAGCAAACTTTCAAGCTAGCCAGTAAAAAAAAAAATAATCGGGTGCCTTGAACCGCAATAAAATCTTAAGGATATCAGGGAATTCTGGCAGGAAATGTACTGCCAGTGTCAGAAAGCTTTGTCTCAGTCATGGATCCTATAATAGATTAATGACCCAAAACATACAGCTAAAGCACCCAAGAATGGCTAATAAATAAACATTGAACTGTTCTGAAGTGGCCTTCTATAAGCCCTGATCTAAATCCTATCGAACATGTACGGAAGGAGCTGAAAACATGCAATCTGGAGAAGGCAACCTTCTAACCTGAGACAACTGGAAATGTTTGCTCAAGAAGAGTGGGCTACACTACCTGTTGGCAGGTGCTGAAGTCTCAGTAAGAGCTTCAGAAATCAGTTGTGTGCAGTGAAACAAAAGGTTAAGTGTCCCATCATTTATGTCCATGCAATATCCCTTTTTTTTTAAGTATCTGTTGAAAAGCAAAGTTTTTTTTTTTTTTTTTAACTATGGAATAAACAACGATGGATGCCAATGACCAGTTGGTTTCACGTTATTTCAGAGCTAACTGTGGAATGTTATTTTTTTCGTGGAATGGTACAGACTTGTCCACATCTGTAGTTGCACTGCTGATTGGGAACCTGTGCTCCGCACTTACCCACCTACTCCCATAGGTTCCTACTTATTGGAATTATTGCCACTGTTCATGTAATTTAACTTGCTTCCTACCCGTCAGGTTCTTGTAAAAAGGATTTTAGCCCACATGCAATAATAAAGCACATTCAAGGTGATGGACAAAAGTCATTTTTATTTTCCACTTGGCTACCAGGCAGCTACCATACACACAATTCTATGAATAAATTACATATAAAAGAACTAGCTGCCAGCATCATTTTATTTGAACAGATTTATGAAAAGGTTCAAAATTTCATAAACATGTTTGAGCAAAACAAAAAACACACGACCAACATCAACAAACGGTTGTGAATTTCACAGAATATACAATAAATGTGCAGAGTAGAACGGCTCTTATTTGCAGACAATAGCGAATATAATTGTGTTACCTATAGCAACCAGATTTTCCCATTCACTTTTGAATCTGCGGAGCGCAAAGCTAGTCGGTTTCCATGACCAATATCGACCCTTCCGTTTTTATACATGCGGTGTGGTCCAGGGTGTTTTGTTTTAGAAAAGGATAAGATGGTCTTCTAATGTGTTTACAAAGCAAAAGATTAAGGCAGGAACGGACAAAAATGTTGTAGAGTCCACTATAGATAAGCATGAGGCAATATTAAAGTGAAGATGTCATGATTTCTTAAGTGACCTGGCAATGTCTTCAAGGTTTTTTCGAGCCCTAGATTAAGGCAGCCATGCATTGTGAAATTCTATTCATGCCTTTTTACATATTCTGCTTTAAGTGACACTAAACTCAGAAGTTAAATCTTAAAAGTACCCTAACTATTAACAAAAATGTATCTTATTTGTGTATCATTTGGCTGTAGACCCTCAACTCATCTCTGAATTCATGCTGACACTGCCCTTCCTTCTGGAGGGTGGCTACTTTTGTTCCCCATGGTCCCTGTGTGCTTTGTAAAGTAGCCACCACTCCAAGCTCACTCCAGTGATGGACTACAATCTCATTTAGTTTACTCATTTGTATTGAGAGTCTATCATGAGAGGGAGCTTGGAGCTATGGCTACTTTACAACACACACAGGGACGATGGGGAACAAAAGTAGCCACCCTCCAGAAGGAAGGACAATGTCAGCATGAATTCAGAGATGATTGGCCTATCTACAGCTGAGTTATACACATCTAAGCTACATTTTGGTTAATAGTTGGGGTAATTGAATGCATTTTTAAGATTTAACTCCTGAGTTTAGTGTCACTTTAAATCTGCTATGAATGCCGGACCTGCGTGTACATGCGGGTACATCCTTAAGTATTGGAAACATGGAAACTTGAAATAAAGAATTTATAAAAAAATCTGCTATGAATGACTATAGCTTATAAAAAGAAATGCAGGCAACAGTGTGGAGCCTGCAGTGTCCCACAGAGTTTTATTGGCATAAAGCTACAGAGAACGCTCCTGTAATTGGTGGAGAGCTTTTTCACATAAATTTTTTTGTTTCTCATTTATTTGAACAGGACTTTTGCCGACACAAATTAAGCACTGAACACATTTGTAAAGCACCTCACTATGCTTTATAAATGTACATTTTTAAAGCAGTGGAAAGCTTTATAATTGTGCCCCTTGGGGGTTTGTTTATGCTAAAGTGATGACTTAAATAAACTTAAATGGAAAAAAAAAATGGTATAGATACTTAGTGTTGGTTATAAGTGGGGCGGAGACAGACACCCGTGAATAGGCCCAAGCAGAAAAGTCCCTTTAAATAAGAAAGGCTGCAGAATTATAACTTACCTATAACAAAGCCTAGAGGTCTTCATTATAAATAAAATACACATTATTAAAAAAAAAAAAAAAAGAAACATGTTATTAACTAAAGAGATGTTGCCTGATCAGTGATCTTATATGCAGTACATGACAGTTTTACCTATTTTCTTGTGTTTTCACACACCGAATATAGCAGCAGAGCTTATGCAGGCAAAACACAGCAATTCATTAATATGAACAAAATAGCTATATATACAGTATATGTACTCCTCCAAGACAGAGAGCAAAAATCCCCTTTGTATATACACTTGCTCATAGAGCAACCATTTTACTCCATCAACACTCAACATCAACATGTTGTATATGAACCTTTACTTTGCCAGAGCCAAATTCTTAGAGTGAAGCTTGTCAATTTCTTGACTGATGTTTCCTTCCATTGTGTCACATTGAGCAAGGAATCCCTGTACAAAAACATGTCAAGAAATATTCTAGATTTAATTACAGGGATACAAATAAATACTATTGTTCTACATAACCAATTTTTAAAACACACACATTTAATACTTTCATATATAAAAATAAATACTTGTCATTTATCTTTATATTATATATGCAATGCAAGGAAACTATGGTGAGAAATATTATACTCTGATAACTGTATTTAATTATAGTATCCATTATATGTAAGTGTATATCAACATGAAATCTATGTTTCAATATATTTGTCATCATAAATCAAAGTATACAGTTTTCTTAAGCAAATCATTTGCAATCTGTTGCAAGGGTAGAGATACAGGGGGCTGAACAAGAAAAAAAACAAGCAGTGTGGATAGAGGAATCCTAGATGCCGACTACTGTGTTCAGACAGCTGCATAACCTGTCACTGTTTGAATATCTAAACAGTGAATGCATTTTACAGGATGAAGTTCCTGTTTGAATGATAATTTTATCCTCAGCTCAGTCGACAGTGACATATGGACAACTTAATTTTCTGACCTGGAGATCCTGCAGGTAACAAGCCACTGCCTCACAATTAGCAGCAGCATGGTCATCTCCTGATAGTTGTCTATCGGGTTGCTCATCAGGTCTTGTAGATAATTTGCTTAAAGACAATTTCCAAGAAAAAAAAAAAAACCCATGCAATGGGTCTACCACCGCACAGCAAGGGTTAACTGCTCGTTTATGTCTAGGGAAGCGGTGTAAAGGGCTTTTATTAACCCAATCCCTGCCCCTCCAGCGTTCCTCATCTCCCCTACGCTCCAGCTTGTGGACTGTCCCACGGCATCCCCCTGTACAATGTAGTGCTATCATGGATCAGGTAAGTAAAGTCCTTTACACAAATATCCCTAGACAAAAACGAGCAGTTAACCCTTGGAATGCGAGGGTAGCCCCACTGCAATAGTAGGTTTTTTTCCCCCTGGTGATAGGCATTAAGAAATATGTATACAGCGAAGCACAATACCAAACATACTGAAAAATAGACTTAGGGTTTAAATACACTTTTTTTATTTAAAAGACCTTTTTTTTTCCAACAAGTTTACATTTGGCCACATTGTTCATCAAAAGTACTGTAACCACTGATGCTTAGAGTTCGTCCCAACCCCATTACTGTCATTTTTTTCTAGACTGCATAGTCTGCACATAAATATGAAGAAAAACCTAAATAAAAGAACATGACATAAGCAATGTATTATTATAAGTATGAACTGCATACTGTTTTCAGCATATAATATTTTTGACTATAGTACTTCTTTAATGTTTTTAATCGGATTTTATTAATTTTTTGAATGGAATAGTGTCCTTCTGCTTTAAACACTTTAGATAGTGCAACAACACATGCAAAGCATAAGTAAAAGTAGTGCCCTGTGGGACAGGTCATGGTTCATGTGACAAAAAAAAAGAAGAGGTCAGAAGACCTTGCCACAGTTCAGATGTCTCCATAAGGAGTCATCCTGTAAAGCACTTATAAGCAGATATACAAATATATTTCTTAGTATATTTTACTAAGTTACATAGTTACACAGTATTTGAGGTTGAATAAAGACATAAGTCCATCCTATTGCGTGTATGCATTTATGTTTGAGCAGGTGTGTGTATGAGTCCATGTGTGATTTTGCTCTTAAGAGCACTTGTACCCCTTTATGTTATGGTCTCCAAGGAACCCGTCCAGGAGTTTCTTGAATGATTCCACACTCTTAGCTTATTATGTAAACTAGCTGTGGTATGGGTATATTGTTTGCTTTTGATATCAGTAAATCATTTACAACCTATATACGGAAAACATGAAGCAAATCTGCTTGTCTATCAATGAGATACAGATGTAAAACAGTAAATTTGCCATTGTACTGCTGTTTCTTACCTGCACTTTTTTCACTAATGTCTTCCTCTTCATTCTACAGTCATTAAAATTATCTGGCATTACCTGGTATCAGAAAATACTGGTTAGTAATCGTTTTTTACCAGTAATACTGTACTTGTATGCCTAATGAATGCAGATTGTCTAAAGAATAACAGGAAAAACATATTAGTAATGACTAGAGGATTACCATTTGTTATTATGAAATACAGCACAACTATCTAATAATATCCAAAAAGGTCACTCTGGTAGTATACGGACAGACCGCAGTTCCAGAGAATTCTAATACTTCAAGCTTTATTGAAATCCAATTTGACAGTGTAAATAACGATGGTGATCACTGTTTATGACAGAGACCCCTGAGAAAATAGGTATTGGGGACTCCAAAAAGGCAGATTCAGTGACCGGTATTGTAGTTTTTATGCCTCTTTATTCAGATCAGTATATAACATCATTAAAGAAATTCTGTCATGATAAAGTTACATGGTGTGTTATTGTTTCCCCAAAAATACTGCTAGTTATGATTTCAATACTATATAAATCAATTCCTTACAACAAGTATGCAGCCAAAGATGACAAAACACTCCTTTTTCCATGTCACAGACTCAAAATGTAATGAAGGCAGAAGATCTGCACAACAGCCATGCAACTCTATTTTCAAAAAGCCTAAGTATTTCTCCCATGTCTGGTTTCTTTTACCAGAAATAATGTTGTAGTGACAACATGTAATGTAACATAACATAAATCCAAAAATAATGATCGTGAATACCCATTAGTAAGTTGCTTTTTTTATATTACATGGAACACCTAAAGGTTCTTCCCATGTCCACTTTGTGTCGCACTCCTAGTATAATAGCACAGTATTAACACCTATAGCAGTGGTAAGCAAACATTAGGGGCTCATTGGCTGCTACCGTGCCTAAAATCCCCCCACAATGCATAGTAGCGCGTTACCATGTGTTGTAATGTGCTGCAACACAGATGTGGAGTTGTATTGGTTTAGTTTACACACTACACTACGGATCAGTGATCACCGTTTATATTAGTGATGTCTTTACTCACCATGTATATCAGTGATGTCTTTACTCACCATACATATCAGTGATGTCTTTACTCACCATGTATATCAGTGATGTCTTTACTCACCATACATATCAGTGAGGTATTTACTCACCATAGAATCAATCTGTTCCAGTACCTTCATAAATTGTTCGACTGTTGTCTTTAATCGTTTTTCAAGTTTACCAAGTGCTTCTGCTTGAAGATTCTTACTAAGAAAACCCTGTATAACAAAATGTATAAAAATGTAATGTGTGTAAAACCTCAAAAAAAAAAGTTGCCTAATGTGGAAGAAAAAATGTTTCTTTGTTTAAAGTAACTTTGTAATAAGGGAAATATAGAGGCTGCAACTGCTGACCTCTCCTGAAAATGCTTGCAGCCTGCTGAGCCTTTAACTTCAGCTTTATGAGTCACAAACCCAGAAGAAGCATTTAGAAAAAGACGTTTGACCTAATTCTGACATTCTTGATCTACAAACTGGTAATACTGTAGGTCAAAGAGAAAGTATTGAGTCTAGTGGGTAAACTTTTAAGAATATACTTTAAAGAATATAGCAGATTTACTGTATGTGTATAGGGTGATATAGCTAATAAATTGTGGATCGTTGTCCCAAGACTGATTTACTGTTTAGAAATATCTACACAGTCTAGACAGATATAGCCAGCTCCAGCTCTGTAGAAAAAGTGTCTACATTCAGTAGGCTGTAAAAAAAATGTAACCTTTGTGAACAACTAAAGTTATGTTCAGGATCCCTGTTCTTTGGAAGGTATGTTAATTTCACATTTACGGGAGCCAAAGTGTTCTTTCACAAGACAATGGGCCAGGTAAACTACACATGGCTCCGTACCCTGCACTATGCCATGTGTATTTGTGTGCACTTGGGGACCCCTGTTTATAAGGAGCATATTGCTCAGTGAAAATGTACACCTGGTGGAGCTGTCAGTGTGCAGGATGTAATACAGCAAGCTATACTACCTCACTGTATAGCTTCTTCTCCTCCTTACCAGGGGGAGAGAGAAGTGCAAGCAGTAGAGCAGATGCCGGCTGCCTCTGTGGAGTGTTTGTGCAGACACTCATCGCAGGAAACCTGCCAGTTGGCTTCCCTCTGCTCAGCTAAATCAATCTATACAGACGCTTAACAAAAGGGAGTCAGTCAGCCCAATACTGTAGCGCAGATATTAATTTACCGTATATACATCGGCAACAGTTTAAATAAATATTCATGTAATTTTATTGGTATCTATCTACCAGTAGCTGCCTCATTTCCCACCCTCGGCTTATATTCGAGTCAATACTTTTTCCCAGTTTTTTTGTGGTAAAATTAGGTACCTCGGCTTATATTCGGGACGGCTTATACTCGAGTATATACGGTAACCTCCATGGCGGTATTCCCGACTCTGACTCGGGGTTAATTTTCAGTACCAATAACCCCAAGCCACACTCGGGATTGCACAAAAGTGTCACTTACCTTGTCCCTACGAGCCCGCGGTGTCCGATGCCGGCATCTGACTTTTTGTTTCGTTTTCGCCGTCACAGCGGGTGGCGGAGCCGGTGGTAAATTCAAAAGTGAAAACATGCAATATACACAGAGTACACACAATACAATGTAATCTGATATAATTACATTTATGTATCAAACTATTTCACTTCAATTTTGTCCCTAGAGCTTTGTCCAGTGCCCTGCCTGCACTTTTCCTGTACTTTCTGCATGGAAACTTGAAAACGTCCATGGCATCCAAAAAGTGTCCCTTTAGGTCAAAAGCGGTTTTAGACCAGGAAGAAAACAGCGATAGTGAATTAGAATCACTTGCAGAATTGAGCGATAGCGATTCGTTGGGAAATTTGCGACGATTCTGCGACCGAGCTCAGTGATGTGCGAACTTGGTACTCTATTGACTGTGGGTTGGATCAGGCAGCGCCCCCAGAATTCCCATTTACTGGACCATTTTTTTTCTTATTATATTATAATGTTGTATAATTATTTATTATGTTATCATTTCTTATAATTATTTATTTATCGTGTTTCAAACTTTATCATACCCGGGATGTCTACTGGACTCTTGTTTGAACAGATATAGGGGAGTTATTCCTAAGATTTACTAAGAATTATGGGCCTACAATATAAAACAACAAATTGCCATGAAAAACAATGTACCGCGTTGGCATGCTAAAATCCTGCATAATCAGACCGCCAGGGACGTTAAAAAATGCACAAACTGTTATATTCCGGCGTCAAATCACAATTTGCGATTTTACCGGTTTTAGCTCACATTTCACAAATCATCTTCAAATATGCAGATGATATGGCGCATGTCGAGTGTGCATTACATGCACCACACAAAAAGTGTAAAAAAAAATATTATATATGTGGCCCAATGTGTTTGTGTATGTATACCCATGCCCATTACTTGTTTCCAAATGTTTTACTTTTTGAAAGAATTAATGTTTTTCATCTTATTGGATACCAATACAATGGTGCAGGGCATTCCTTATACCACTATGACTCCAAGTCCATTACCTGAACTACAAACTCAAAAACAAAACTGCTTCCATTTGGGTATCTTTGGGTACACTTTAACTTTACACAGGGCAGAGCATGAAACATGCAGCAAAATATGAGCCTCATAGGACTACAAAACTAAATTAATTTAAAGTGACATTAAACGCTCAGATTTCTTAACATAAACCAATACTGTAATGTGTGCCTTACTGTAATCCATGGTAGTTTCCCTTATCTTTTGCTGCTCTTCCTTTTAAATCCTTATCTCTTCTCATGCTGGGGGAGAACTTCCCTTTGCAGCTGAGTGCCTCTTCCTGTAGTGCTGGCTCAGGTTGTGAACCTTCACACAGACACCATGTATCCATTCCAGAGACAAGGCAGTCTGCTGCAAAACAGAAGTTCTGCCCAGCATGAGAAAAGATACGGATTTAAAAGGAAGAGCAGCAAAGAGAATGGGAAACTACCATGGATTACAGTAAGGCGCACATTACCGTATTGGTTTATGTTAAACAATCTGAGGGTTTAAAGTCACTTTAAGTGCACAGACTGTACCTTCTGAATTCCTGAAAACTCTTTGTTCACATCTTCCAGTTTACCAGCCAATTGTTCCACTGATTTTTCCAAATCTTTTAGTTTCTTTAACTCCGACTCCTCTTCTGGGCAGTTCTGTTAAATTGAAAAAGCATAATGTAACAGCATGTAACATGACAAATGTTTTACACAGTGGAAAAAATAAATTTTCTGCAAATGGGAAATAAGCAAGACCAAAAAAAAATCAGTAGGATTCCAACCATGAAACTATCTGTATGGCTGTGTATATTCACTCTGTACTTGCATGGGTTTCTTCCCACTCTCCAAAGACATACTAGTAGGTTAATTGGCTCATGTGTAAATTGGCCCTAGTATGTGTATGTAGGCATGTGCGATAGGAATCTTAAAAGGAGAACTATGAGGTCAGTGTTTTTCCCCATAGTTCTCCTTAGGGTAACGGGAGGACACAAACTAGCGTCCTCCCATTACCCTAAGCTCAGTATACCGCGAGATACAGCTCGCGGTATACTGAGACGCCGGAGCGGATCCCGACATGGACGTCGAGATCCGCCCAGCTGCGTGAGTGACAGCTGGCTCTGCCTATCTAGAGGCAGAGCCAGCTGTACCCGCCCCCTCCCCCGTCCGTTCCGCCAGTCAGCGCTGGCAGATCGGCTCAAACTTAATCTCCTCTTATCAAAGGAGCCAGGCCAAGAATTGGCGGCTAAGTAGTGACTGCAGCAAATCAGCTGTAGTCTCTGTTCAGGTATTCTGAAAATGGGAATATATTAGTATATAGCCAGCTTTAGATTGTAAGCTCCTCAAGGGCAGGGACTGAGGTGAATGTACACTATGTAATTCTGATGTAAATATGTGATCTGGGATTAACTAGTACAGGGCTCAAAATTTCAAGTCCTAAGCTACTAGCCAGGCCTTAAACGTTACTCGCCACCCTTCTTCTCCTGGTGATGGTGCTGGAGCAGCGAGGTTTCCTGCACGTCCAGCCGGCTCCAGTTGCTCTCTCTCCCGCGCAGCAGAAGCCGGCCAACTGCGGTTCGGCAGTCTTTCTCTCCCACCAATAGCAGCTGAGGTGGGCGGAGGAAACTGCTGTGGCCGCCGAGGAGCCCAAATCGAAGAGGGCACAGACAATGGCAGTGGAGCTTCTTGTTCGCTTCTCCCCGCCGCCGCAGTCTTAAAGTCAGAGCAGTCTTAAAAAGGCCCCCCTCCCAGTCAACATCTTTCGGACGTTATTAATCGGAGTTGCCCCACTCAGTATACCCGTTGCTTGCGGTCATATTGAGTGGGGCACTAAAATTAATAACGTGCTGGATTAGTCTGACCCAGAGGCAGACTGGTCCCAGGGGCGGGGTGGCAATTGCCCCCCAAGTCTCTCTGATACCTTTGCAAACGCCCCCCACTGCCGCCGTAAGCATTTAATCTCTCCCCTCTCGGCCGCTCTGCTCCTGCAGCGGCCAAGAGGGGAGAGATTAAGTACTTGCGGCGGCGGGGGGCGTTTGCAAAGATATCAGAAAGGCCTGGGGGGCAATTGCCACCCTGCCCCAGGGCCTAGCCCAACCCTGGGTCAGACTAATACAGCACGTTATTTATATGAGTGCCCCACTCAATATGGCCGCAAGCGAGGGGCATACTGAGTGGGGCAACTCAGATTAATAACATCCAAAGATGTAGACTGGGAGGGGGGCCTCTTTAAGAATGCTCTGATCACAGCGCTGAGCGATCCCTCTCTTCTCCCGGCCGCTGCAGCTTCAGCTCCATGAGGTGAGCACTCAGAGAGGCGGCGGCGATCACACATAACAGCGTTCCCTCTCTCTCCTGGCCGCTGCAGCTTCAGAGCGGCCTGGTGGAGAGAAGAGGGAGCTATAATGGGTGTGATCAGAGCCGCCTCTCTTAGTGGAGCTGAAGCTGCATCGGCCAGGAGAAGAGAGAGGGAGCGCAGAGAGCTAGATACGGCCCTGGATGGAACACTACCGCCACGGCAAGCGTTCGCTTCTGTTCTCTCTTCTCCTTCTCGGCCGCTCTAAAGCTGCAGCAGCCGAGAAAGAGAAAAGAGAACGGAAGCGAGCGAGCGATCGCTGCGGCGGTAGTGTCCCATCCCTGGTCCCGCCGGTGTCGCCAATTGCGAGGGGGCGAGTGGAACTTTTGAGGCCTGAACTAGTATATACACAATAGCATGCTAACTTTAGGATTTCTGTTCATTTTAATATCACAATTATGTGTATAGTGATCTAGTTTTTAAAATCTGAAAAATGATGTATGTTATTACCCCATATAAAAAGAATCAGTTCAGATATTACCTTCTTCCCAATCAGCATTATTTTACAACCATTTTGTACACCAAGGGCTAATAAAGTCTGTTCCATTTCCTTAAGGGATTTTCCTAGATAAAAAAAAAACAGAAGCTTGAATTTGCACATACCCATAATGGTGTGTTTTATCTGTCAGTGCAGTGTACCAACAGTACTAAATGATGGCAATATCATCTCATCTTGCTGGATGACATGTATAGATCATCAATGAAAATAAATTAAAACAAATACACATATACTAAGGCCAGGGCTACACCGGAAATTAAATCAATTTGCTACTGAGAAATGTAGATGTAGTCATCTCACTAGCAGCACATTCATGTCAGGGTGCTTCACAAGAGGTGACTGCCTCTATTTGTAGCACCAAATAAAAAAGCTCTGGGGGGAGGGCAGTGAGTGCACTTTGGCATACTTGCCTTGGGTGCCATAGAAGCTTGTTCCAACACTATTGAGAACTTTTAAATTAACATCTGACCATAGAAAATCTGCAGATAATTGTAAGGTGTATGGCCAGCTTTAGAGACTCCAAACCCCCCGACTAGCAAACACCTGGGTCTGCATTCAGATTGCATCCAGCATCAGGTCTAAATGTGGTTATAGCTCAAGAAACCCCTAATAGTCTGCCATTATTTATTATGTACTGAACTCCACATTAGCACCTGAAAACCAAAATCTCACTGTCACCTTTGTAAATGAGTCTCTGTGAGGCAAGTGGTACACCAGTGACTTTCTCCACTATCGTAGCCAAATCTTGAAGAGTCGGGTCATCATTTTCTTCTTGGGTCACCACCTGCAGTTTGTGCTTCTCACTTCCTGTAACAGACATTTGATATCACCATTACATTATTACTTTCAGATGCAGATTCAATTGCATCCGAGATGAACATTGTATTAATAGTTAATCAGCACACCTGTTGCAATCAGCAAAACTCATTCTCCAAGCTCATTGGAGAGCTTTAGCTCTGACTTTGTGTCAGACCTCTGCAGAGAAACCACTTATTTGTCACAGAGAGCAAGAGTTAATCCCTGCAGCATGTTGCCACAGGGCAGGCTTTACTACTCAGGCCATGGCTGCATTTTTAAGAAAAGTACTGTAAAGGTGCCTATACACCTTGTAATGATTGGACGAAAATTTCCGTCCGATGATCGAACCGTCGTACAATTTTCGTACGTTGGCCCTATCCTCCCCCGACCATCGCACAGTTCAATTAGCAGTCTTTAGCAGAAATCACCTGGACGGATTTCGTTAATTGACCGCACAAATTTTCGTTTGCACATGTGCAGTGTAGATCGTACGAATTTTGACGTACGGAAACGCCACCAACCTTTCGAAAATCGTACAATTGACCGAAGTTTACTAACCTGCTGGTTAGTCAAAAGTCGATTGGTTGTACACTGCCCATCAACCGTACGAATATCGGACGAAAACGCAAAATTGCATACTAAAAACAGCCGATATTCGTAAGCAGTATGGGCACCTTAACAAATTCTGTGATCCTGGCTAGAAATGTTGGTCTGCATTAGTGATGAGCTCTGGTTTGAGTTCACCCAAGCCCAATTTAAACTGTGACCACCACACCCCCCCTCCTGGCCCAATCAGTTGTGAAGAGGTACATTCTTTGCCCTGTCACAAAGAAGCGGGAAATCCCCCGCTGCAACTGCCCCCACGATCTACACTGGACATGCGCAGACGAAAATATGTGCGGTCGATCACCGCAATTCGTCCAGGTGCTTTCTTCTAATTACCGCTGATCCAACCTTGCGAATATCGGGGCAGGATGGGGCCACCGTACGAAAATCGCGCGACGGTTCGATCATCGGATTAAAAGTTTTGTCCGATGATCGCAAGGTGTATGGGCACCTTAAGTGTAATTTTAAAAACAAAACTTCAGGGAAGAAACATACTAAAAAAAATGAGTGGTTACCTTTGTTGTCTTTCATTGAGGCTGAGTATCCCTCCAAATCTGGGATCAATTCATGCCCAATCTCCACCCATGCCCTTTGCCTCTTTGTAATACAGATTAGGGATGAGCCTGGGCTTGGTGCAAACCCAGTTCACCTGAGTTCGCCCAAACCAGCTAAAAACTGTGACACACACACACACCCCCCATTGGCCCAATCAGTTGCGTAAAGGAGGATTCCCTGCCGGCTGACCTCACAGCTATATGTCACACAGGAGTGGGAAATGCCCTCACTACAACCGCTGCCACTGATTTGCGCCAAGTGGGGGGTGTCAGTCACAGTTTTGCAACAGCTTAGGCAAACTGGGCAAGTTCGGGCTCATGTCTAATACAACCTTTGATGTCATATAAAGTCTTATAAACTGTTTAACATCCAGGAAGAAAGGTCTTGCGTTCCCTATTTTACAGGCTCTAGGATTACTAAGAGAAGGAGACTGGTTGTAAGTTTACATAATGCACAAAAAAACCCACAATGAAATGTGCATTTTTAAGAGCGCCTGCCACCATAGGCTATGGTGGGAATTCTCATGTTGAGCATAGGAGAGCTTTTAGAATAGCGCTTCAAAATGCTCATATGTCATCCAGGGTTTACAGGAACCTGCTGACCCCTCCCTCCAATCTGAAAACAAAAGCAGCCGACACACTCAATGATGACATCACGGGGTCTCAGAACCAGTATTTCTTTAAAAACAAAATGATCCGATTGAACATTTTTAATTGAATGTTGATTGGGAGGAGGGGGGGAGAACAAGGAAGGGCATTATATGCATACACTACGTTTTAGCTTTAATACAACATCTGACAAAGATAAAATAAAACCCTTTTAATAAATACTAAGTACAAAATACACAATCCAACACACATCAGTCTTTGTGGACATTTAACACCCTATACTGATCATTACAGGGTACACGTTTCCTATCGTTCCAGCCTCAGGCAAGCGATAAAATGAAATGAGGTGTGACAGCTGTCAGAGAACTCCCAGCTCTTAATAAACATGTTACCATGTGTCAGGGTGATTGTCAGTCCTCTGTTGGAGCCCATGTCTTTAGAAGGCAGGGACAACTCTTGCTGGGAAAGATGCTTTCCAGTGTCACCCTCGCGTCCTGTGCCGGCTGACGTCACATCCTGTTGCAGCCCTTCTCCAGTTTCCCCTGACCCCGTAGCGGCCATGTTTGTTAAGGGCGAGTGTGGCTTCAGTTCTTTCAGTGCGAAGTCTCTTTATAATAAGAATTAAATATGACTCTGTATGGCTTTGGTAGATGTACAGGGATGGTGGGGGATTTCACGTCCAGGTGGCACCCTGAAAGAAGAATAAGAAGTTAAAAAGTTATTTCTAATTGTATGAAGTGATTGTGGACTTTTGTAATCAATGTTACTTGGATCTCATTCATACAGACGCAAATACAACAGTATGGGCATACACTGTGAAATACGCCTGCATTTGTGGTGTCTGGGAGCCCCAGCTGCTGCGTTTTTCTCCATAGAAATAGACAGAACATATTGTAAACGTGAACACGAATATCGGCATTAACATGTGCATGGGCATATGTTCCCGAACATGGAACTTTCACATTTTCAACCTATACCCATGTGCATGTAAACGCTGGTACTTGCGTTTACACACATGTATACCCACGTACAGCATGTACTGTCCATGCATTCCTATAGTCTTTGATTTAAAGCCTGCATCAGAATTAAGCCACCAAAAAAGCCTTCTTTCCTGAAGAGGGGCCTTTCATTTATGTTAGAGGCTCTGACATGACCTCCATTTCATCCACCAGATACGCATTTTACCCTAAAGATTGTCTTGTTTGTGGCCATAATATTAGCCAATCATCCTGAAAGTAGCCAAGTCTTTATTGGAACCAGGATCTCGTGCTGCTCTCCTTTCCAGACACCGAAGATTATCCTCACCCGCAGTATGTGGGCCATATAATCAGAACATATCTGATGGTCACAGCTTCAAGAATTCTGAAAGGCTATTCATAGTCCCTCACAGAGTGAGAAGAGGGCATCCAGCGTCAACACTCACACTAGAATAGTAGCTAGTTAAAGTATTCAGAAAGCTTACAATTTCTGCCAGTTTCTAGAAAATTGAGAGTTAATTCTACCAGGACTGTAGCCACATTTTGGGCAGTATATTGCAGTATGTCAGCAGAAACTATCAGCAAAGCAGCAACATGGTAATCATGGAATACCCCCATTTTTTACTACAGGATTAATCCAGCTTGTTTGATGATGGTTGAGTTTGGAAAGACTTCACTGGAGCAGTTTACTACTTCTGTTGTGTTGTAATAAATGATTTTGTTTGGGTTCACCCTCCTTTGTTGTACAAGTTAATTCCCATTGCATGTTGCCATGATGACCCAGGAAAAAAAAATGGTATACTTACCTTTTTGTAATTTTCTTTTCTTGGTGCATCCTGATGGCAGCCTACAGATGCCTACCATTGTGGTCATACTTGTTGAGAACTGTGATTGAACCTGACCGTCTCAAACTTATAAATAGCCGGGCTTATGGGGTTGAGAGGGCAGAGCCGCAACCCTGCTGCCATGAAGATGCATCTGGAAAGGAAAATGACTGAAAGAAGAGTATACAATTTTCTATTTTTTTTCAAAGTTAACCTACGTTGAGTGAAATTACTCTTCTGTGAGGTGTGGGAGCACCCCCGATGAACCACCCCCGATTAACTTATAATGCTCTGTGAATCCAGTCTTATGGGTGCATCTTATTCTAAATGTTTATTTGTAAGATAACGATTTTATACAAACAGTACAAAAATACATATAAAATCATTTTCAAATGTATGCATTTTGTTTTTGTATACCATTTACTTTTAGTAATATTTAGATCCCATATTGCCTCCTTGTGGTAAGCAGCAATGCTACTCTGACTGAGGATTGTTACCTGGAAGCTGTGAAACAATTCAAGCTTGCGAGTTAGAGTTCAGAGCATTTCCATTAAGATGTAACTGAGGGAAATGCATAGTAATCAGATCATCTTGCTTACATAGAAGCAGAACAATTTTAGACAGTTTTACAGATGGTGAAGTCTAGGATAAATGTATTTGTGCAGCTCATTGATGTTACGTCTTAGGCTTATTATACATGTTACAGTCTGACCGTACAATTCCTGTACAACTTTAGATTTACCAAAACCATGTAATATGGGGACCTACCTAATCTATCCATTCCATTTGTATCTAATCTGTCAGGCTTGTTGGTAGATCTAAAGGTGAGTGTACAATCAGATTGTAGCATGTATGGTGAGCCTTAGAATTGGGACAACTATTCTGGTGACTAAGAGAACAGTTCCACTTACCTTTAAGAGATTTCTCCTACTTCCTGTTGTGTCTACAAGATAGGAAGTAAATTTAAATCTCCCCCACAGGACTCAGACAGCAAACAAATACCTACCAGAGGTTCTAACCATTTCCAACTCTATCATAAACAAAATGGACAATTTGGGCTGTAGATATACTCTATGTTATAAAATATGAAAAGAAGGAGCTTGTAGAGTTTCCTGCACACAAGCCATGCAGTACCTGGTATTATGAAAGTGCTAGCAGTTCTACAATATTTGGGTAAAGTTTTATGCGTGTTAGTTTTAAGGTTGTTAGGAAAAAATTGGATTTTCACAATCAACATTCACAAGAGTACAGTCAATAATGTTGGCCTGTTTTCCACAAGTAGTTCCTAAACATATATACCTCTCTATGGTGGTGCAGGGAAGGCGAAGTGATGGAAGGTAGGAGAGAAAAAGAGAATGTGACAAGGATCCAATCCCATTCGACCTCAGCTTGGTTTAGATCCTGTTCAAGCAAGTATTATAGCAATAAAGAGAGCAATGGTAGTAGTGAGCAGTGTTGTGATAGCTAATAGGTTGATACCTTCATGGGTGTGTCCTAATAAAAAAGATAAATGTATTTTAGGATATTTTCTTGATTCATACACCCAGGGCTGGATTTCCCACAAGGCCAACCAAGGCACGGCCTCGGGGCAGCAGGGGTGTGGAATTCCTGTCTCCCGATACCCGGACGGGTAGTTGTTTTCTACCTTTAGCCCTGCTTTGGGCAATTTGTATGCAGCCTGCATACAGGGGGACGCATTGAGGAACCTGGCCTTGGGGCAGCAGAGAGAGTAAATCTGGCCCTGCATAAACCTATGGTCACTCTGTTCTCTCCACCATTCAGGTGTTCCATATTAGCACATGTACATGCAGCCTAATTTGTTTTTAATGCTGACCCCTCCAAAGTCTGAGTGCTACTATGCAAGGGATGATGGGAGGATGATATCAGGACAAATTCAGCTACTTATGCTAGCTGTATGTTAAAATACATGTAACTAAAATAGTTTTTTTTAATGTGCCCAGACACTTGCAGTCCCTGTACAACAGGGCTGTTAAAGGAAAAAGCAGTAAAAGGAGCCAATTAAGTAGTGTGCTCACAAGGAGCATGTTGATAGGAGGAGAAAGCAGAAAGAGATGATCTCATCATTGTGGAGCTTCTCCTTTCACTGTCCAGTCACAGTCAGGGAGGGGTCCAGGACAACCTAGGCTCAAAGGAAGTGGGTTGAATGATGCTGGATGTCAGACTGAGGACATCTAGAGGTGGAAAAGAAGTACTGTGGGTGACCGCTCTGGATTAAAGGTGAATATATGAGCAAAAGCTGTTTTTAGATGATCTTTTAATGGGCTATTCATTTCTATTTCTAATTTTAGCTTTAGTTCTGCTTAAATGTTCCTTCTTCTACCACTGGTCAACACAGATAAATATGAGAAATACTGTTGGGTTATATAGATTACGAAGTACTGATGGGGTGGTCATAATAATCTGGCCACTCAGTGTATACACAAATACACATCACATGACCTTCCTCCAGGAGGCAAGCCTCACTCTGAAACTTTACCCACTGATATCTTACCGGAAAGGTTTACTCAGAGTAAAGCTTTCAGGGAGAAAATGCCTCTCTTGCGGGCGTCAGGGAGCCACTATCTAATAGAGGGAGACTCCCTGAACATCAGGGAGATTTGAGATCCCTGTGTTTCTGTGTGTTATGGTACATGTGTAGAGCTATTCATTGTAGTGCTATAGCTATGATCAGTGTGTAGAGGAAAAGATGTACTGTGTATAAACATCGAATACAGCTTCTACATTTGCACCATGTTGAGCTTTATAGAAAATTCCTACACAAAGCTATTATAGTGCCCTTTTTAACAGTTTTACTGCACAGCAGCAAAGTAGATGTAAACAGTGTAAAACGATGTCATGGACATATATAGCTCTACCAGCCTACCGCTAAAAATACAAATTGTGAGATACAGAAATATTTGCAAACAGAAAATAAAGCTAGGAAAGATAAAAGTACACATTTGCCAAACTAACCACTTCAGAATTAGCATGTTACAGCCTCTTTATTACCAGGCCATTTCTCAGTCAGGGAGGTTGAGACGAAGGGGTTAATAGATGTGCAGAATAAGGGAGGTTAAAGTGTTAATGTGCAGGTCAGAGCAGAGATAGAATGCACATATTATAGGCAGGAGAAAAGGTGCTGAAAGGGTGATTTGAACCTTTTTCTTTGGTTGCTGCTGCAGCTTGTATTGATCAGGAGGAGCTAATGAATGGATGACTCATCCATTTATTAGTTTCTGTACCCTCCCCTGCCTCTGATGCAAGCGGGGAGGGAGGGCGTTGTCAGTGATCGATGTGATAACGAATCACAGTGATTACAGTAAAGAGAGCCAGTCCGATCAGCTCTGTGTATATAGCAGCGTGTCTCCGCTGTCTAATGACAGGAGTTAGGCGCATATTAGGAGTTTTGTTTCACGAAATGAATCCCATTTAGTAGCGTGAATAAATTGATATGAATCACCCATGTTGCCCTACCTAGCATATATTTAGATCATATGCTGTATTTGTAGACATGGTTCAATAGATGCAGATGTTTATTAACCCACAACCAAAAATTATACGGTATAGTAGCTTGCCAGTCCTTTTTATGTGGGGGCTGCATTAGTTTCCTTTAATTTCACCTGGTGATCCTGCCAGTAACACACTTCTTATCCTAGGGTGCCAACGTCCACTCACTAAACTGTTTCTATGGAGGAGAGGTGCTGTTATTCTGGGCTGCTCTCCTAATTTGGACCACAAAAAACCTCCTCTTCTAATCTTCATTATATAGGGAGGAGGTGTTTTGTAGTTAATTGAAGATAGGAACCCAATAAAAGAGATCAGGAAATAATTGACAAAATTGCAAAGAAGGCCAATTAAGAGATTTATCTTTTTAAAGCCCAAGCCCAAGTAGTTCTCCAGTGTTGAATTCAAAATGTGAAATATTTAGCTGTAGCAGGAGGCAGTTTGTTTGCCGAAGGGCTGGAGAGCGATACAATAATGAACTGTCTGCAGGCAACAGTGAAGCATGGTGGAGGTCCCTTGCAAGTCTGGGGCTGCATTTCTGCCAATGGAGTTGGAGATTTTGTCTGGATCAATGGTGTCCCCAATGCTGAGAAATACAGACAGATACAGTTGTGCTTAAAAGTTTGCATACCCTGGCAGAAATTATGAAATTTTGGCATTGATATTGAAAATTTAAAAAAAATGCCTTTTATTTAAGGATAGTGATCATATGAAGCCATTTATTATCACATAGTTGTTTGGCTCCTTTTTAAAATCATATTGATAACAGAAATCCAATCCAAAGCCTTGAAAATGCCAATCAGTACTGTTCAATCACTTATTAAGAAGCGGAAAAATTCGGGGATCTCTTGATACCAAGCCAAGGTCAGGTAGACCAAGAAAGATTGCAGCCACAACTGCCATAATTGTTCGGGATACAAAGAAAAACCCACAGGTAACCTCAGGAGAAATACAGGCTGCTCTGGAAAAAGACGACTGCCACAATACTGGAACAAAAATTAGCTGCATGGACGAGTTGCCAGAAAGAAGCCTTTACTGTACCAATGCCACAAAAAAGCCAGGATACAATATGCCTGACAACACCTCACAGCTTCTGGCACACTAACTTGGAGTGACTAGACCAAAATAGAGCTTTGGAGCGCTATGTTTGGAGAGGGGTGAATAAGGCCTATAGCGACAAAAATACCATCCCCACTGTGAAGCATGTTTGTGGCTGACTAATGTTTTTGGGGTGCGAGAGCTCTAAAGGCATGGAGAATCTTGTGAAAATTGATGACAAGATGAATGCAGCATGTTATCAGAAAATACTAGCAGAACTTTTTCGGCACGAAAGCTGCGCATGGGACGCTCTTGGACTTTCCAGCACGACAATGACCCTAAACACAAGGCCAAGTTGACCCTCCAGTGGTAACAGCAGAAAAAGGAAGAAGGTTCTGGAGTGGCCATCACAGTCTCCTGACCTCAATATCATTGAGTCACTCTGGGGAGATCTCATAACGTGCAGTTTATGCAAGACGACCAAAGACTTTGCATGACCAAGAGGCATTTTGCCAAGATGAATGGGCAACTATACCACCTGCAAGAATTCAGGGCCTCAGACAACTATTACAAAAAACTGCATTCATGCTGTGAATTCATGCATTCATTAATGCTAAAGGGGGCAATACACAGTATTAGGAACTAAGAGTATGCAGACTTTTGAACAGGGGTAATTTCATTTTTTATTTCTTTCCATGTTTTGTTTTACGATTGTGCCATTCCGTTATGACCTACAGTTGAATATGAATCCCATAACAAAGTAAAAGATATGTGTGTTTTTGCCTGCTCACTCATGTTTTCTTTAAACATGGTACATATATTACCAATTCTCCAATGGTATGCAACCTGATGAACACAACTGTACTTATCTTACTTGTTTGGTTGCAGGCTGGCTGGCAGGTTGAGGCTGGGGAATTTTTGTGTTTTGTATTGTTGTAAGCCTTCCCAATGTGCGCCCTGCTATAAAGGCCGGTTATAGATTCATGCATGTACCATTTTTTTCTAGTTTGTACTTATCCATCATACCTAACCATCAGGGAGGCATGTGATTGGCCCCAAATTTCTTCTTCAGCAGGGCAACAATCCCAAACATACAACCAATGTCTTTAAGAACTATCTTCAGCGTAAAGAAGAACAAGGAGTCCTGGAAGCGATGGTTTGGGCCCCACAGAGCCCTGATCTCAACCTCATTGAGTCTGTCTGGGATGGTATGAAGAGACAGAAGGATTTGAGGCAGCATACATCCACAGGAGATCTGTGGTTAGTTCTCCAAGACGTTTGGAACAACCTACCTGCCGAGTTCCTTCAAAAACTGTGTGCAAGTGTACATAGAAGAATTGATGCGGTCTTAAAAAGGCAAAGGGTGGTCACACCAAATACTGATTTGAATTTCTCTTCTGTTCATTTACTTTCCATTTTGTTAATTGATAAAAATAAACTATAAACACTTTACTTTTTTTCCTGAAAGTATTCTTACGTTACACCATTTTTTTCACACCTGCCTAAAACCTTTGCAGAGTACTGTAAATACCACTCATACATAAATAATAAAAAGGTAAAATTTCACAGGTTGTCATTTAAGGAAAGCTCCCCTTTAGGTATAAAACATTTACAAGCAAGAACGCGCTCATGAAGCATAGTCCAAACATGATATTTTTTATTAAGTTACATATTTTAGTAAGACACAAGCAATTTTTTTTGTATACCCCTATGGTCAGAATTGTAAAAAAAAAAAAAAAAAAAAAAAAAGGGAAAACTAAAAAAAAAAAAAAAAAAAAAAAATGGAAACATGTACAACATATGTTTTAAAAATGATGAAAATGAATGGTATGCAATACACCTAAATGCAGCAAGTTGTAGCTTTATGTCCTCTTGTTGCACTAGTTGTGTATCTGCCACACATGCACAGGATGCATGTTCCTCAGGATTGGTGGGCCAAGACACTGTATTACTGTAGCTCAATCCACCACTCATTCTTGTTTGTAGAAGTTTCCAATCAGCCCCAGTACTAGCAGGGGTCATCAGGAGCCTTCCAGTACATGTAATGGCTCCCATTTTATTTACGTGCAACATATTGACGTCAGCACACTATTGCTCCGACTTCCTCTCCTCATTATCTCTAGAAGGTTCACACATGTTAGGTATTTTGGTTTCATCCAATTTCTAATCCAAGTAGAGGGCTGGCATATCTGGCGATTGATCAATCCATGGTGATGGCAAATATGTAGTGCTATACAGGACTCATGGGTAGCAGAGCAAAGATCTCTTTCCAGTAAATCACAGTGCAACATTGAATATTTCTTCCCATGAAAGACAAGGTGCAGTAATTTGAGCCAGGGTAAAATATGAAATCCCAGTTTCTGATTTTTGTTCGGTTACACAAAATAACATTGTTAGATAAATGTAAAGCTGGGGGGGAAAAAAAAAAAGATGAAAAGACAGTTTGTAGACTTTAGCAGTTTGTACCAAGGTTTATATTTATGTAGCAGGGATCTGTGGTAGTCCAAATTCATCCACCAGCACACCATCCTGTAAACAACAAAGAAGAATTAGCACAAGACAGGATGACACTTACCGTTTCTACAGTCTCTTTGCGTAACTCATTGACAAGATAGATCTTAACCCATATTATATATCTATAGATATATCTATAGATATATTTATTAATTATATATATATACTCCAGCCAACTTTTCTTTTCAGATAGAGGGAAAGGAGTTGGAACCTCTTGCAAGATTCTAAGTTAGTCTGCCCAATAGAGACATTTGCCCTGAGATTCTACCCTTTCCCCATGCCACAACAGAAAGTGTAGGGTCATCTCCGTAATGGGAACAAAGAAATAAAATTCTTACAGAGGTTCTAATCATTTCCCTCTATCCAAAAACTGAAAGGTTTGACTTGGGTAACTAAGTCAGTTACCTTGTTTTTCGAATCACTGGGAACTCCCTCTGGTATAGCTGGGGAGGATGCTGCTTCATCTAAGTATGACGAGTCTTCATCAGCCAGCAGTTCATCTCCCAGTGCATCAAGCTCTGTGGTCAGATACAAAAGGTGAAAAACAATAATCAAAAATAAATTAAAAATATGGCCAACCACTTGTTTGCCAAAAGAGGCTTAAAGAGTTACTGACAGACTGAATAAAGATTCTTATATTATGATTTTATCTGATCTTGTGTGTTGAATCAGAATATAAAAATCCTGGCAGAACATTTTCTCTGACTGGCCTTTCAAGAAAGCATATATGTTATCATTGTACTTACTGAAACATCAGAATAAACAGGCAGCATGTAAGATAATCCTTTCACTCATAAAAGGGTAAATACTATATTCTAAATTTGTCCAAAAAGAATCTAAGCACTTGAATTGGATACACAGCAATATATACAAGGGTACCATTTTTAATAGCGTGCCATCTGTGGCAGCAATGTTTTAGAGGAAAGGTATTTTGTATTTTCAATGAATGCCTATTTTTGAAGGTATTTTGCAACATTTACTTAAAGGGTAAAAGGTACCTTCAGATAAAAGCCCAACGTTTTAGCTTTTTGATATATATATATATATACACACACACAGGAGAACTTAGAAAATGACACCAATCTGAAAGCATAATATCTATGAAGAATATCAACAGACACAATAGAGATATAGTGGTCCACTAAGAGGTGCAATCATTGTTACAGTAGCTAAACCGAGACCACTATGGATTGCAACTGCCTTCGTGGTCGAACAATTGCTGGCTTGAGGAACGCCTGTGCTACATGTTAATGCAATAGGGACAATGTGATTCCTGCAATATTTTACTTATAGTCTGGATTAAAGTAGGGAGGGAAATGTGAAGAGAATAGAAGAACAGGCATGGTAGGGGATACAGATGTAGGGATCAGCGTAAGCCAGGTCCTGTATATACGATGATATGCGAGAATGGAGACCTGTAGTTCGAGGGGCACTTACACATCATTATTTCTTGTATAAAAACAGGTTTTTGTATTCTGTGGATTGTTGAAATTACTTCCAGTCAAACCACTCATAAGAGTCAGACTAAATTTTCAAACCAGAAGCGAGAACCACCTTTACTCAGTTCAACATTACTTTATTGACCTTGCGAATTTACAGGCTAATCCCAGACAGGTCCATTTTCTTCCAAAACTGGGACCTCAGATGCATTATCTGGCTGCATTATTCAAACATATTAAAAGAAAACATTTATAGCTTTTCTGAGCAATGTCATTGTTGTGCAACATGAGGGGTCATCAGGGAGTCTACATTCAGTAATTTTTTGTGATACAGATCTGACGTGTATACTAAAGCCCCTTAATTTGGGAGCTGCCAAAAGATGTTTAACCCCTTAGTGATGAGATGCACTGTACGTTCCCGCCACTAAGTACCAAATGACTGATCACATACGCTGTACGTGCCCGCCACTAAGTACGCAAATGACTGATCACATACACTGTACGTGCCCGCCACTAAGTACCCAAATGACTGATCACATAAAACTGTACGTGCACACCACTAAGTACCCAAATGACTGATCACATACACTGTACGTGCCCGCCACTAAGTACCCAAATGACTGATCACATACACTGTGATCAGATGTGAACTAGTATGTTGCGCTTGGTTTACTTTATGATATAAATCACTTATGTGTTTAAAGATTACATTATCACAATGAAATATTGAAACAAAATCGCACGTAAGAGATTTCAACCAAGCGCAACATACTAGTTCACATCTGATCACACTGATACACATTGTTACAGCTGGTACTTTAATTTAATTTTATTCACCTTCCTAGCGCAGTCAATTTTGGATAAACTGATCGCATACACTGTACGTCCCCGCCACTAAGTGCCCAAATGACTGATCACATACACTGTACATGATCAGCTATTTGCAGCTCTGTAATGCTGGTAACCGCTGAGAATCAGCGGTTACCATTCATTAATGGATGCCTCAGTATTAAGGCTGTATGTATGTATGAAAGAATCAAGCTTTTTCAGAGACCCGACCCCTTTTAGGAATCGGGTGTCTGACAGTGAGAGCAGAACGGTATTTACAGCTTTGCCATCACTCTTTGACAGCTGGTATAGATTGGGATTAGGAAATCCCAATGTATACCGGCTTTTTTTTTTTCTAAAGTTTCACCAATAGAAACATTTAGCATCTTTTGCTAAAAACAATGTTGCAGGCTTCTGATGGTTGTGGGAACGATCAGAAGCCTTTAATGACATCTGAGCCTGAAATGCTGCAGGATCAATGTCTCTAAGGTTATTATTGGCTGTTCTTAAGTTTGAAGCAGCCTAATAATAACCAAAATGTATGAAATTATCAAGCAGAAATAGTGAGAATCATTCAGAATGACTGCTTGATATAATTAAACAAATAAAAAAAAAAAGTGTAAAAAAAATGAAATTATATAATTTAAATATATTTTTATACGATCATTAAAACCAAATGTAATCCCTTACAATGAAAATCTGCAGGTGAGCTGCAGATTTGTTTTTCACCCTAAGGGGTTGTTTTAATTTAACCCCCTCATGACAGTGATGTCCAAAAGTACGTTGGTGTCACTAAGTGTGACACTTAGTGACAGTGAATGCCAGGTGACCACTTTTAGAGAAAAGAAAGATTAAAATATGTTAGATTTTAATTTTATGCTGAGAAGTACAGAACATTTTCTAAAATCCTAGGGATGTGAGGTTTATCCAAATAAAGGACAAATACATTAATGTATGTATTGCATTTTTTTTTTAAGCTGTGCTATTTTTCCTAAAAACAATACTACAAATCAAAACTGGGGAAAAAGTGTTTTCCCTACGTTTTTTCCTCAATATTTTATTTGTCCTAAGTGAGGCGTTATGTACACATATGTGATATAAATTTTATAGCCCTATCTGTCCTCTAAAAAACAATATATAATATGTGTGGGTGCACTTAGTAAGAAAGTATATTAGATGTTACAAACAAATGACTGTTTTTACCTGCTTCAAGGTCATCCTCATCAATTTCTGGTGTTCCATAACTACGGCTCAGAGCTTCTTGGATTTCATTTGCATCCTCCATCATATCTTCCAGCTGATCCTGCAAATCCTGTGAAGAATATACAATCCTTTAAATTTAATTTTTTTGCCCCTCAAAGTCAACAAATAAAAGTTCCAGAGAACAGGCATCAGGCTTACCTCGATCTGATCAATTTTGACTTGCTTGTATGCTTTTTTCATTTCTTTGGCTCCTATTTTCATTGCTTCCACCTTAAGTTATCATATAAAAAACACAAAAATAAAGTAATTAAGTTTTTGTCTTAACAGTTTACATAACACCGGAAATGCAAGAGACGATAGATAAAACAAGCACATTTTCAAGACATACGTTATTTTGTTTTTTCATGCAAGCCATAGGACACACACACACACACACACACACACACCAGCTTTAGTTAAAAAAAACAGTGTTGCTAAAAATAAAAGGTTTAAATGTAAATTCTATAATTTGTCCTTTTTAAAATTACATTAAAATTATGATTTATTTTACTAAGCACTGCTCAGTTATTTGAAAATAATAATGTCTTTTTTTTTCCCCTCAATTTTGTATTTAAAAAAAAAAAAAATTAACAAACAATGTAATAAAAGCGAAAAAAGAATTGAAATATTAATGGTTAGAAAACAAACAAAATCCGCAAGTAAACAATAGCTAAGGGAAGAAGTTAATAAAAGGCTGATTAAGCCTAATTCAGGGTTACTAAGCGGTTAAATAAAAACCCTTTATTTAAAAAAAAAAAAAGAAACAAAAAACTTGTATCCCTTACACATCAAGGTTTTGGGAAAGCATAAAATAAGCATACCGTTGTTTTGGTATCTTTTAGTGACTGAATGGTATAATTGGCTTGTTCCATGTTGAAGGATTGCTGGTTTAAGTTATCTCTTTGCTGTTCATACCTGAAATAATAATATACGCACACACTTGTTAGGCCAATTTGAAGAAAAAGAAAACAGAGCACGTAAATAACATAGAGAAAGTGCAGAGCAATATTAGAAACCATTATATTGTATGATTTATTAGAAGTTTAGAAAAAATGTAACTACATGTGTTAGATGTGTTAATACAGTGCTAGCTGGGGTTCTCATTTAGGGCCTGTTCACACCATATGCAGTGCGTTCCGGCCGGAACACACTACATCGCATTGCGGCCGGCTCACTTTTTTGCCGGGCAGGAGGGGGTGTGGCGGGCCATTGAAGGGAATGGTGCCGTAGCCATGCCCTCCAACCGCAATGCGATCGCCCGCACGGGATCGCAGGGCACATTGTGCCTGCGGTCCGGTGCGGTCAAAATGCTGCCGGAACGCCCTGCATATGGTGTGAACAGGCCCTGACTGATCAGGTTGGGGGTTATATAAATTTATTGCTGGCTAGTGGAGTATACATTTTGTGTAGTTGGGGTACTAGAATAAATCACTGCTGGCCTTAAAACTAGAATATTGGGGAGAAGCAGCACAGAAAATGGTGAGCACAATGGGGAACCATATAAAAAGGTACTGTGTGTGAGAATTCTGTATAAAAATGACTTATGCCTGTTCACAAACTGGATAGAAAACCTGTTTAATCCCATAAGAAAATCGAAATCAAGCCTATAAGCCCTGCCTTATAGTATAAAGCAGTAATTCAAATCATTAAGTTAGGTTTAGCCAGTAACTTACATCCTTTTCTGTTTTAGAACCCGCAAGGCTTTTTGCTTGACCATATTCTAAAAGGACAAAAAAAATGTTTAGTGATAGTTCTGAATTGTCATAATGTACATACATCGAAGGCTAAATAACTACACAAAGTAGTTCTATTATAATGTTAAAAATGTATTGCACTTGTAAGAGGAAGAATATTAAACACATTTTGGGATTGTTAAATAAATGTATACTAAAATGGTTACATTTAGGAGAGTTGCAATAATACAGACCATCTAAATTTAACAAAATACACACATTTTTTTATACAAAGAAAAAAAGAATACATTGACATATAGTTTTTGAACATTAGGTTTAAAGTGACCTTGTCAGGGGGGTCAATAAAATTATAAAAGCACTAACCTGTGAAGAAAACAGCTTCACACTTACATGTTCATTGGCCAATTTTACAGAAACTTTGCTCTGAAGCAAGGTTCCCATCACCGATCTGAGTCGACTCCTCGGGCTTGTCAAATAGCAAATCTCCCCCACCACTGGCCTCTGTTATTCCTCCTGTTGACCTCTAGTCATTGCAGGAGACGGTAATGATGTAAAAGTTGGCGGGAGGAACCAAAGTGGCCAGCGGGGAAAATACAATTTCACACAACCCGAAACGTGTAATTGGATCAGTGTCGGAAACACTGCTACTGAGTGACGTTTAGCACATGGCCAGATAGACAGGTAAGGCAGGAGTGGACAATTAAATATGGAATTAATGTGTTGGGTTTTTTTTTTTAAAAGAGCCAGCTCTATTGACAACAACCAGAGAAACCTCCAAAAGTTGGACACCAGCTATAATTTTTAAGGAGCACTGGCTACCTGGCTCCTGGGATTTGTCCACTCCTGAGGTAAAGTATGAAACCGTGTTTTTTACATGTTAGTACTGATGTAATATTGGATAGAGTGGTGAGTGGTTAGAACCTCCGTTGGGTTTTTATTACTGTCCAGGCCTCCTTTTGTTTTGCGTGCTTCATTTGTCCTAGTGACCATTGTCACTGACAGGTAAGCAAAATCCAAAATTTTGAGTTGTCACGGGGACACCCGTTTCATTGACAACTCTCTACGAGGGCATTTAATTAACTTTGAAGAGATTTCCTTAAAAGGGATATTATAGTCAAAAGGGCTTTAAGCTATTTCAGATGCTGATTAAAGTAGAACTATGGGGTAAGTGTTTTTCCCCATAGTTCTCCTCAGGGTCACGGGAGGACATAAACTAGTGTCCTCCCGTGACCCAAAGCTCAGTATACCGCGAGCTACAGCTCGCGGTATACCGAGACCGCCGCAGCCGGGACGGATTCCGACATTACTGTCGAGATCCGCCCAGCTGCGTGATTGACAGCTGGCTCTGCCTATCTAAAGGCAGAGCCAGCTGTACCTGCCCCCTACCCCGTTCATTCCTCCAGTCAGTGAACCCCGTTCATTCCTCCAGTCAGTGCTGGAGGATCGGAGCAGGGAGGGGGGGTATCCCTGCAGGGAGCTGTGAGCGACAGACACGGCTCTATGCAGGGACAGGTTCGAGAAGTGAGCTCACTTCCCGATCTACTGAGCCGACATGCGACAGTTTCATTGTCACACGTCGGCTCGAACTATGAGGTTGAGAGAAAATCACTGACCTCATAGTTCTCCTTTAAATGACTAGCAATGGATGTTGCTCCTTGATGTTTGAAAGCTTTAGTATCTCGCAGAATTAGCTGGTTCCCTGATAAACTGTTTTAAAGTGTGTGATAGTAAGCTGTGTGTCCCCACAAACACCCAGACACAGCAAGGCAAGCCACTCCCCTCCTCCAAGCTAGTAGACATCTGCTGGAGACTGTGCTGTTCATTGTGATCTTGTACTGGACAGGAACTTCAGGAAAGCTGAGCTGAGAGAGTTGGAACAGCTGTTTGGAAACATAATGACTAAGTGCTTGGGCAATAAATACTTTGCTGGGCAATGTATATTTGCTTAGTCTGGATTCATTACTGAAAAACGTTTGAGCGTTTCATACTGCTTTAAACTTCCTGTTCTGTCTTCAGGGCAAATGTGATCAGGAAATCTTGCCAGGAGGGACACAAAAAAAAAAAAACTGACAGCAAAAAAACTGACAGGTTTGCATTTCCTACTCTTTTCAAAACAGTAAGAAAAAAGGTTTTTGCTTTAGATATACTTTAAAACAATCAAGATCACAGATGTGTATGAGAACTTCTAGGAGTGCGACAAACTGGTATAACTGGATTGACCTGCCCTGTTGTAGAATTAAAAGGAGAACTATGAGGTGAGTGCTTTTCACTCACCTCATAGTTCTAGCCGACCTGTGACAATGAGACTATCACAGGTCGGCTCAGTAGATCGGGGAGGTGAGCGAACACATACCGGCGTTCACTCACTTCTCGATCCTGTCACGGCTCTCTGCCGTGACAGGGGAGGGGCTGGATTCCCCCCTCCCCGCTCCGATCCGCCAGCGCTGACTGGCGGAACGGACGGGGAGGGGGCGGGTACAGCTGGCTCTGCCTTTAGAGAGGCAGAGCCAGCTGTCAGTCACGCAGCTGGGCAGATCCCGGCACAATTGTCGGGATCCGCTTCAGCGTCTCAGTATACCACGAGCAGCAGCTTGCGGTATACTGCGGCGTCTCAGTATACCGCAAGCTACAGCTCGCGGTATACTGAGCCTAGGGTGACGGGAGGACGCTAGTTTGTGTCCTCCCGTTACCCTAAGGAGAACTATAGGAAAAAGCCTTAACCCCATAGTACTCCTTTAAAAAAAAAAAATTTGATATCTACACTTCACAAAAACATTCTGCTGAAAAGAAATATAGCCCAAAACAAAAAGCAATTTCAGAAGACCTCAGTTGTTATTGTCCAGGCTGAAAAACCTGAAAAGGGTTACAAAAGCTTCAAGGATTCCTTTAAGACTTTGGCTTGGTTGGTAAATCTGGTATATGCAGTGCAGTGTAGTGAGGAATGCAAAGACCTATACACAGGGAAGGAAAAAAAAGCAGCCTCTCAACAAATGAATGGCCCAATATAGGAGGTGGACAACTGGATCATAAGAGGTGTGAATGAGGCCTTCTACCTCAAACTGGAACGGCCATCCCTGAACAGGGGTAGGGGCCTTTCACAACATCTCTTTTTCAAATAGAATGCTGGTTTAACATCTTTACCCCAGCAGTTTAAAAACAATTCACGTCTTCAACCATGTGAATCAAGTGATTGACACCTATGCAGAATGCCACCAGTGGCATTCTGTGACTAGAACAGAGCGGATCCACAACTTTCACAGCTTCCATCCTCTCTTTGGACAATCAACATCTTCCCTGACAAATGCCACTGTCAGGGCTATTCACAAAATGGTGAAGAGTTTGGAGAAGGCAGGAGAAGTGAACAATCTAGGACAAAATAGCGGATTTTGGAAACATTCTCCAATTCAGCTCACTTTACACTTACGCTATGTTGCCCTAGATTGTTCACAGTATGTCCACTTGTCCGCGTTCTCCAAACTCTTCACCCTTTTGTGAAGAGACCTGCGTGACCTGTGTAGATATAAATAGGACATGTTCCTAATACTCATTAGAACTGAAGAAGCAGCTTAGATAAGATACTAAACTTTTTTTTTAAACATTAGAGCCCAGTAGAATGTGACTACTACTACGGTAGCTATAACAAGACCTTGGAAAATGAGAACCCTTGCAGACACATAACAACAAACTTGACAATAACTAAAGAAACTCCATATTTAAGGTCCTGACCTTAACCCCAGTGAAATTCTGTAGAGTGCTCTGAAACAGTGCCAAGATACTTGTTAGCCATAGTACATGTCTAATCAGCAACTAGAGGGGTGTCAGCAGTGTATGCTAATAAATGTGGTTTGGCTGGTACTAAGCGTAGGGGTTCACATACATTTTCCATCCATTATCTTAACCATTTTTTTAATAAATGTTCTTGGATAAACAACTTTTTTTGTACATTATTTTTTTTTAAAAAAAAAGTTGTTTATCCAAGAACATTTATTAAAAAAATGGTTAAGATAATGGATGGAAAATGTATATGTGTATGTATATGTATGTGTGTATGTATGCGTGTATGTATGTATGTATGTATGTGTGTATGTATATGTGTATGTGTATATGTGTATATGTGTGTATGTGTGTATGTATGCGTGTATGTATGTATGTATGTATGTGTGTATGTATATGTGTATGTGTATATGTGTATATGTGTGTATGTGTATATGTGTATATGTGTGTATGTGTGTATGTGTGTATGTGTGTATGTGTGTATGTGTGTATGTGTGTATGTGTACAGGGCTTGAAAAATTTGGCGGTGTCTCACCAGTCAGTCAGAAATTTCACCAGTCAGCATGACCGGACTATAGCCTTGCAATATATGTTAAAAAACTTTTGGGGACAGATAGAGCTTTGTTGTTTATTTTTTTTTTACTTTATAATGAAGAAAGTACCATAAATGTAAAAAAAAGTGTA